GACAGCAGAGAAAGGACAGGACTCTTCTAGTCATGGGACCCTGTGTGACTGCAGGAGTCACTCATCCACAAAGTCAGCTCTGCTCAGAGATGTTGGGTCTGAGGCGCCAGCCATCCAGAGGAGACCTGAGTAAACTAAATCCCATCAGAGGGACAGTTCTGGAGCTGAGAGAATCCATCTGTGCCCCAATCTCAGGAGCCCACTAGTTCTCCTAGGGGACCATGCAGACAGAACAGAAACAGCTATATCCGCCATATCCCCTGGGTGGCCAGGTCTCCAACACCTGGCAGCCTGGTCCCCGATAAGCCAGCTTCTCATATGAGAAGTACCAGATCGCAGTGTTCATCCTCTAAGGAAAATCCAAATTGCTTGCTTTGGCGCTGCAGTTGCACAAAGGGGAATTCCACGCTGGCTGATCCCCTTCCGCTGACTGTGGTTTGCAATGTCTGCAGGCCACAGTCCTCGGAAGGGCACCCGATTCAGTTTGCATAACCCTGGCTCAATTGAACCTAAGGACCAGCCCCAACTCCAGCTCCTCCTAAGCTTCTGACCCACCAGGCCTTTATTGTGAAGTACCCCCGTCACAAAGCTAACGTCAAAAGACCCCAGACAAGGACGGCGCCCACAGACCCCCGTCCCCTGGGATCCCCACCCAGCCACGCTTTGGGTGTGTGCTGCACGTGGGGTCTATTGCAGCACAGCACTGAGGAAGCCTCTGTCCAGGGAGCTGAGGAAGGTTATTCAAGGGAATGCTAGAAATGTCAAGCTGGGGAAACTATTTTACTTACTAGATGTCCTAGATAAGAAGAAATGAAACTCTCACTATCAGCCTCAAAAAATAATTACTAGCAGCAAGTAGGAGCCAAGCCCCAGTGGGATTCTTCATCAGGATAGTTGCCACACTTTGCCCAGTGGGCATGACCCCACCTTCCCTGCCTGCATCGCCGACCTGCCTGCTCCCTCCTAGGTGACCTGATTGCCGGGCAGGCTGGCTGGACCCGAGTCCAGGAAGCCCAGATTTCCGAGCCTTCCCTTGCAGCTCCCGAGCAGCCCCACAGGGCTCCCAGCCCATTCCCCGATCTTGGGTCCAAGCCACTAAGTTGCAGCAAGGCATGGGGCACCTATACCAAGGAGGCTGCCATTTTGCTGAGCACGAGAATAGCTGGGAGGTGGATTTCTTATAAGATCTTCTACACCATAGATAGGACCCTCCAAAATCTCTCTGTACGCATGCACACCCACACTCCCCACACACACCTGGTGGTTCTTGTCTGGTCAGACTCCTCCGCAGCTGAATTGATGAAAGTTACTGGATGAAACTTCCCTTAAAGATTATTAGGATCTCCTGGGCTGGGGTGCTGTTGGATCTTTGGACTTTACCACCTCCCTTCTCTCTGACACCTGGCAATGAAGCACAGGAGAATAGGAAGGCAGAAAAAGCAGGTTCTGGGTGACATAGGAGACCGCATATCAGCCCTGGACTGCCTGCCTCTGGACTTCTTGTTGGGTGAGACAAAAAAATATTTATATCAAATCCCCTTTTTCAAAAGATATGTTTAGTCAGGCTTTTTTTTTTCTATTTATAGCTGAATATAGAAATTAGGAAATATTTTGGAGCAGGGGTGGAGGAGGAGAGGTATTTCCCCTCCCAAAATCTTCCTCTGATTTCCCAGTAAAAATTAATTTGAATTCAATTTAATAACCATTTATTACACACCTGCTATGCATTTGGACTTGAGGGCAAACTGGACTCAGGCCATTTGCCCTCAAGAAGCTCACAGTCTGATGAGGGGCATTTGTGTCCTCTTGAAATTCACACGACACCCCATCCATCCAGAGGTGCTGGCTTCCTCACTTCCTTCCCTGTATGGGCTCTTCCCTTGTACTGAAACCCAAACTCAAGCCTACTAACGTGATTGTTGGCATTTATGTCTCAGATGCGACCTATTGGTTTGGGACTTTTCCCAATGGAGCTTAATGACTTTTCAGGTGAACAAATGTCTTCAGAACTTGAGAAACGGGAGCCTTCTTTGTTGTTCTTGTTGTTTTGTCAATATATGGGCACATGGTCTTAACCTTGCTCAAATGTTCAGATCTGTCCCCTGACATCAATGCTATTCAATATGTTGATAGGGAAGATATTATCTCCATTTGTTAAGTGAGGACTTGTATCAAGGAACTTGCATATGGTTCTCTCTGACTATTTAGATTCTGATATTTTGAGATTAGAGTGGACAATGATTTCAAATCAATGGGGAAAGGGTCAACTATTCAACAAATGGCTTGAGATAAAATTGGCCATACATTTCAAAACAAATAAAGAAGTCGGATCCTGATCCTAACCTTAATGGATTATGGAATAAAGAATGACATAAATGGCTTCTGCATGCCTCCCTTCTCCCTGCCACTGTATGTATATTTACATATGTTTCTCAAATTATAAGAAGAAAATATCAGAGATGCTGCCTGCTTCCCTAAGTTGCTCTCTCTCTCCTTCTGAGTGTTTGCCTGTGCCCAGACCAGCCTCCTTAGTGTGGCACCCTTCAGGCTCACAGGGCGCTCTGCTATGTCCATTCCAAGTATAGCTGGTACCTTCCATGGGCAGGACTCAGTGCTAGGTACCAGGTAGAGAAAGATTAGTGAAGCTCATGGCTCACTGGGCAAGATAAGGTGTCTACATGGATGGCCGCAAGGTAGGGTTGTAGATTTCCTAGTGAGGCAAGCACAGGGCAGGGTGGGAAACAAAGATAGGAGAGGTTCATGCTGCCTGGGTCAGGGAGGACCTCACAGCCCCATGTGGGGTCCGGACGCCCTGGCCTGCCTGGTCTGCCATGCTGAATCTACACCGGGAACACCCAGCTCAGAGAGGGGTCAGCCCAGAGCACTAAAGTAGTCACAGCCAACAAAACCCAGGAGCCTAAAAGTAAGGAGAAGGGTAAAAGGGGCAGGGAAATTCAATTCCTGGTCCCTTTCTCTCTGCTTCCTGGTAGCAGAACTCAGGAAAGTGCTCCTGAGCCCAGCATAAATCTGGCAGGAAGGCAGGCGCGGTGGTTCATGCTTGTAATCCCAGCACTTTGGGAGGCTGAGGTGAGAGGATCACTTGAGGCCAGGAGTTAAAGACCAGCCTGAACAATATAGTGAAACCCCATCTCTACTAAAAATAGAAAAATTAGCTGGACGTGGTGGCACATGCCTGTAGTCCCAGCAACTCAGGAGGCTGAGGCAGGAGAATCGTGAGCCCAGGAGTTTGAGGTTGTAGCAAGCTATGATGATGCTACTGCACTCTAGCCTTGGTGACAGAGTGAGACCCTGTCTCAAAACATAAATAAATAAAAATTTTAAAAATTAAAATTAAAAAAATGTGTTTAAAATTTGTCAGGAGCAGCAATTCCTGAGTTAGCTCCCTTCCAGTTTCTAGAAAGCTCTTTCTCCCTTCATGATTCTTAGCTTTCTGCACTGACACTCCCCCAAGGGCTGGGAGGAGAGGCCACGGTCCCCTGATCCTGACCCACGAGTCACCAGTGCAGGCACATCACACTTCCCTCCCACTCACTCCAGACTTGCTGGGCCCTGGGGCATTTGCCCCACCTGCCCTGGCTTGGTGACCTTCTCCACTGGGAGTGAGTGACTTGCCCTGAGTACAGAGGGACAGTGCTCTTCCCAGGTACTGTCTGAACTGGGGCAGTGGGAGGAGCCCCCCAGGAAGGGAGAGGCTGAAGCACATCAAAGGACCCCCAGAGACTTTATAGATGCCTGAAGAAGTCTTGATATCACTGCCCCCATGCTCCCCCAACCAAAGGTACAGCAACACTCCTCATGCCAGCCGCACCTGACCACCTTGCACACATACACACACACACACACACACACACACACACACACACACACACACGTGCAAATCCGAAACAAGACTACTAAGGCTGCTTTGGGAAAGGGGAGCAGGGATGGGTAAGGGGAAAGAAAGGGTCCAGCCTTCATGGAATCCTGACTTATGTTCCCTGATATTTCTACTTCTTCCTCCCCACCTTTTAAACTTTAGACTCCAGCTACAGAAGCTTACAACTAAAAGAACCCTAAGGACTACTGAATCCAGCTTTCAATCTACGCACTATGGACAGTGCACAGTAGGGTGAGGGAACCAAACTGGCACCCAGGCAGCCTTGTGCAGGTTCCTGGACATCTCTGAGCCTCGGTGTGCCCACTATAAAGTGGAGATAACGAGGGTCACAGTAAGGACACACTTCCTGGACTGTGACAAGTATTCAGGAGGTATGGATGATTCCTACTAACTTACCCCAGGTTCTGGGACATGGGGTAAGTCTCTGGTTTCTAAATGAAACCGGAGAAGGAGCCTGGAGCACAGCCCAGGACCCTGCCTGTCCTCTAGGAAGCCAGTCTCATCAAGGGTCAGTCTTTGAGCATAAAATGTGAGCACCATTAATAGAAGGGAGTTTTGAAGATATTTAGCCCACTTCCTCATTTTCACTTGGGGAAACTGAGGCCCAGAGAACTAAGGTGACTTCCCAAGTTAGCAAGGAGAAGTCTTAGGTATTCAAGCCAAGTTGGGGGTGCCCAATTATTTCTCAATCCCAGTGTATTCTGGAATGGCCAATTTGTCCACGTCACTGTGGCCTAGGAATACGTGAATGGAACCCACAGCTGTAGTCCTCCACGCACAGAACAGCTGTTCTCCCCAGGAAATCAACTTTTTTTTTATTGAGAGGCTTAAATTTATTTTAAAAAAGAGAAAGAGAGAGGTACCCTGTACTAAAAATAGTCTAACGCAGAAGTTCATCTTCAACTAGTCCTTTTGCTTACAGTGCAAAATTTAAAAACTTTAAATTCAACAAATGAAAATTGGAGAGGTCTAAAGAAGGGAGGAGCTTTGATCAGAAAAAATCTTTTCCAGGAAATCTGTTAACTCTGTGGGTTCTTTATGAATGGAGGCCTCAGTGAGCCCACAATATAAAAGGGGGACGGAGGAGGTGAAGGTCTATACTTCAGGGGCTTGCTCTTGCAAAACCAAACCACAGGGCAGACTTGCAGAAGAAGGCAGAGTTCCGCCATGCCCAGCTCAGCACTGCTGTGTTGCCTGGTCTTCTTGGCTGGGGTGGGGGCCAGCCAAGACCAGAGTATCCAGTCTGAGAACAGCTGCACCCACTTTCCAGCCAGCCTGCCTCACATGCTCCGAGAGCTCCGAGCTGCCTTCGGCAGGGTGAAGACTTTCTTTGTGAGTATAATCCCCTCCTGTGCTTTCTCTCTTCCTGGGACTGCCTGAATTGGGTTTTCTGCTGGAGCTATAAGAAGAACCCTCCTCCTGCTCCTCCACCTCCATCTCCAGCACCCATTCCCCCCAAACTTCAATTCTTAAGAGAGTCCTAGATTAAGCTATGGGTTCAGTGAATTAAGCTAAGCCCAGATGATGGGGCACAGATGCAGGAAAAGCTTCCTAAAATGGTAAATGCCACTCTCTGCTATGTTCAGAGACTTCTTAAAAGATTCCACTGAGCTCTATACTTTATTGGCTGGGAGAAATCAAGAAGGGTCTGATCGGAGCTGAAGATGTTCCCCACGTCCTGTGGCAGGGAAGCCAAAATCACCTCTGCTTAGAGAGTTTCCAGACCCGAAAGATCGATGGCTCGGGGAAGCACCATACCTGGGGGAACCTGCGTCAGGAGACACTTCCCGTTTCCAGAGATCTTTCCAGGGTGGAGCTGGATGTCCACAGTATGCAGAAAGAAAAACAAAGAGCAGGACATGAGAGGGGGCTCAAGGCACTGTAGGGTTGACATAGGTGTCCCTTAGGACCTGATGTGGCTCTGCAGAAAGACCAGGACTGAGTCAAGCTTTTGCCTTTGCTTCAAAATTGGCCAGATTTTAAAAATAACTTGATTCCAATGGGGAGGAACTGATCTAACTAATGGTTCCAACACCATTGAACCCTCTGTTTTTAAAACTCTCCTACATTGATTAAAAATGAAAAATTCTAGAAATAAAAGTGCATCAGAAAAACATGCATTTTAGGTATTTTCCCAAACCTCACGTTCATTCTCCTTTTGTTCTTCCTGCAGCAAACGAAGGATCAGCTGGACAACATGTTGTTAAACGAGTCCTTGCTGGAGGACTTTAAGGTGAGAGGAGGGATGGGTGGGTGGGTGGAGGGTGCAGTATGATTAAGGGAAGGGAGGCTCTGCTTCCTGACTGCAGGGAGCTGGGTCTGCTTCCTTCACTTTGAAAAGGAGAAGTGGGAAGATCTTAACTCAGCACATAGCCAGCAGCCAGGGTTATAAGGGGCTCAGGGGTGGGGGAGGCAGCTGGTGAGGGAGGGTCCCAGGGGACAAAGTTGTCCTCTCAAGCTAGTTGCGGCAGCCCTTCCTCCCAGTCACCCCCCTCTTTGGCTCCTGCCCTTAGGGTTACCTGGGTTGCCAAGCCTTGTCTGAGATGATCCAGTTTTACCTGGAGGAGGTGATGCCGCAGGCTGAGAACCACGGCCCAGACATCAAAGAGCACGTGAACTCCCTGGGAGAGAAGCTGAAGACGCTGAGGCTGAGGCTGCGGCGCTGTGTGAGTAGCGGGACCGGTTCTTGTCTTGGCAGCTGTCCCCAAAATACCATCTCCTACAGGTCGGCAGGGCCACTCGCATCCAGAGACACACCAAAGACATAGACTGGCAGGACTAGCTAAGCATTTGGAAAGGTGCCCAGAGTCAGATCTTGCTTGCCACTCTCTGAGCAGGGGTGGGGGTGGCTGTTAGGCATTTACATGTGAAGATTTGCAAACAGTTTTCCTGTTATTTGTGAGTCATTTGTGGCTTATTAACTACTCCCCCCTCTCTCTTCATGAAAGGGGCCCAGAGCTTCAACCAGGGCTCCCTTGTCCCTTTGGACCTAGCCCCTAGGCTGGGAGCTGAGGCTCCCAAGCAGAGAAAACGTCACTCACCTCTTATTCTCAACCTTGGGGGCACCCAATTGTCTGACAGGATTTCCCCTGGTGTTTTAGAAGGGCCAGGGGGCTCCTTGTTCCCAAGCTAGTGTCTATGAATAATTCCCCCAGATAATTTATTTCTGCAACTGAAACGATACCCTCACTACTAATGGTATCTTTTGTTCTCTTACCAATATTGGAAAATCAGTTGGTCTCTATTTGCACGACAGGGTTATGCAAAGGGCTTGGTCTCTGTAGCTGCGACTATGTTTCCACTCCTCAGCTGCTTAGAAATGGTCATTGGTGGCTGCAATGGGACAGGGACAGGAGAGAGGGGCAAAAAAGGACAGGCTGAAGAATGCCTAGCTCAGCACTCCAGGAGACACTGTGAAGTTCTGGAGGAGGAAAGCCAAGATCTGGGTTGTTAGCCGAGCCTTGCAAACATCTCAGAGTGGCTTCCAGGGAAATGTATTTCATCTCCCTGGGCTGTGGTTAAGTGGTTAAGAGGATTAGTTAGTTTATTCCCCCAGAAATAAATTATTTGGGGGAATTATTCATACTGTAGTGGGTAAGGATGAGGCAGGGCTCAGTTCTCCCCGGGAGCTATGAGGGGAGGCATTCGGGATGAATCTGGCCCCCTCTGCATGCCGCCAGCTTGTCCCCCAAGTGCCACAGACATGAGAGCTGGGAGTCAGGGTCATCAACACTTTCTCTTTTCTTCCACAGCACCGATTTCTTCCCTGTGAAAACAAGAGCAAGGCCGTGGAGCAGGTGAAGAATGCCTTCAGCAAGGTGAGCTTGGGCACCGGCAGACGGGGCTTGCAGAGCACACTGCCCACTCCCCGAAGGGTAGAGGGTGACGGGTGCCAGCAGGCCCCTCCTTCAATTGGAGGGGTGTGGGAACCTGACAAATGGTGTGACCTCCTCAGCCAGTGAGGAGCTGCCGCCTCGGTTATATTTATTTTCTGTTAACTGTCTTTGGGGTTTCTAAATGACTGCTCCCCGCCTTTGCAGGCCTGCGGGTTGAGCTGGCCAGCCAGCCTAAGAACGCCGTGAGCTGGGTGCTGGGGAGAGTGACAAAGGAAACAGAAAGTACAGAAAGTAGCTTGTTGGGAATCTAGGCTGAACCCACACGTGCAGGAAGGTGACACGTGAACGCGAAGATACAAACACACCTGGGGGTTCAGCCTGAGCTCCTCAAAACTCAGAATGAGCAGGAAACAGAACTGGCATTTATCTAGAGTTGGTTCAAGCTCATTTTCCATCTGCCCCTTGTAACTCCCAAGGTGCCTGAGAATGTCAACTCCCAAACCAGATGGGGTTTCACACTTCCAACTGTTCGCGAACCTCCTAAACTCCATTTCCCGGAAACCATGTGGCCTATGCCCTCCCTGTGGGCTGGGGACAGACACTGGGCAGGGTTCCAACATCAGGGGGCATGAACCTCCTGACAGTGGGCCAGAACAGGAGGGCAGGGCCTGCTCAGTCTTGGTGGGAGAGCACACATGTAAAAAAGGCTCCCTTCTCGCACTGTCTTGCTTTCAAAGTGCTTCCTCTAATGTATTTTCATCAAATTCTGCATAAGCATCATGTGAACACATGACCTTTAAAATTCTCGAAAAGGCAGCATTTTCAAGACTGTACTTTGCAAATGAATGCTTCCCTTTCTCCCCGATAGCCACGCTCAGGCCAGGAGGAGATGAAGGTCCATGCACTGCCCTTCCCAAGGCAGCAGCTGGGCATGTCCTCGGCTCACCTCCCAACATCAGGGAGCCAGTGCAGCCTCTGTACCCAGAGTCATGCCCACCCCAGTGGAGGGGAACCCAGTTAGTCCTCAGGGTTTTAACTAAGTGTTTCTTATCTCCCTACCCAGCTGCAAGAGAAAGGCGTCTACAAAGCCATGAGTGAGTTTGACATCTTCATCAACTACATAGAAGCCTACATGACAATGAAGATGAAAAACTGAAACATCCAAGATGGCAACTCTTTAGACTCTAGGACATAAATTGGAGATCTCCAAAATCTGAGCCAATGCTCTGGGATAGCCAGCCCAGTTCCTTGGAAAACCTTGTCATACCTCTCTCCTAGAATATTTATTACCTCTGATACCTCAACTCCAATTTCTATTTATTTACTGAGCTTCTCTGTGAACTATTTAGGAAGAAGCCCAATGTTATAATTTTTTTTCAATATTTATTATTTCCACCTGTGTTTAAGCTGTTTCCATAGGGAGACACCCTATAGCATATGAGTGTTTTAGGAGAAATTTTAAGTTATATGAGGGAAAACAGTTTTCCTTTTGGAGCCAACCTAAGCTTCCATTCCTAGCCTGACCACGCTTCACAGCTGTTGGGCTGTTTTCCCTAATCTCCCTCTAATTTCTCTTGTCTCTGGGCCCGGGGCTCCCGGGGTGTTACAGACTCTGACCCTCTTAGGAAGAGAAACCAGGGAGCCCTTTGATGATTAACCTTCCAGTGGCTCAGAGGGATTCCCCTGACCTCACCCCCCAACCACTTCATTCTTGAAAGCTGTGGCCAGCTTGTTATTTATAACAACTTAAAGTCGGTTCTAATAGAACTCAGTTTTAACTAGAAATGATTCAATTCCTCTGGGAATGTTACGTTATCTGTCTTCATAGCAGATTTTAATTTTGAATAAATAAACGGTCTTGTTCAAATCATGTTATGGTGTCCATCGACTCCTTTCTGACTAAAATGTTGCCTCAAAGCTTCCAGACGAATGAGAATGGGTGAATGAATTCTCAGCTCCAGAGAAAGGAAGCCAGCTACTCTCTCCCTGGAGAGGAGGGAGACTCCAAACCAGATCAGGAGAAAAAGCTATTTACGCTTCAAAAGCCAACAGCAAAGACCATCATGGACTTCCCATAACTCAGTCCTTTAAGGCACCTTTAAGGCGCTATCCCTAAATCCTTAAAGATCATGCTGCTTTTCAAGGCTACGGAGGAGATTCCGTACATACCAAAATTAGAAAAGTAGGCTGGGGAAGTTTTTAGTGTGTGTGGGTTTTTTGTTTGTTTGTTTTTGCTTCTTTAAGCTCCAAAGGTCCACGGGGTGAATACTAATTTGCCTGGGTTATCCTGAGGATTAAGATAAAGTGTGATGTGGTCCCCGGTGCTAGGAGTAGGTCTCAGTGCATATGGTTGGTTGTCATCAGTAGTCACAACTGAAACTCCTACCAAATCCTCTTTGAGCCGGGATCAGAGACAAACAGGATTGTAGCCAACAGAGTTGAACATAAGCAAATTAGCCCCCTTGATAGGATACCCAAGGCTCAAGCTGCTGCTCTTTCTGTCCCCTCCCTGAGCCACCAGACAAATGGCTTCTAGCTGCGGTCTGTTGGGAGGGGCATGGTGGCTGGGGAAGCCCTACTCAGATACTCAAAGCCCCATGACTTGGAGGAGATAAGGGGAAGAATGGGCTGAGTAAACACTGATCCCCCTCACGCTCTGGCTCTGCCGGGGCAGCCCTGGCCCGGGGCAGGGTGGGAGCTGACTGGCTGTGGTCAGTTTTTCGGTAAGACCTGACTCACTTGGGTTAAAGTAACCAAAGGAAGGAAGTGGGAAACATCAAAGCTGAAATTCTGAGATGAAAGGTTAGGAGTAAGAATGGAGGCTAGCAGAAGAGGAGGAGAGAGAGACTGATGCTCTCCACTTGAGGTTCTCTGTACTGAACTGGGGAAGTCATGAGTCGCTGGCTGGGAGGCTTGGGCACGGGGGACTCACAGCCAGGCAAGACACACTAACTCAAGTTGGAGGGTGGCACTTCCCTCAAGGGAAGTGGGCATCTTGAAACAACTAGAAACTCACCTGAAAAAAGCCACACAAATAAATCCATTTATTTATTCAAAATTAAAATCTGCTATGAAGACAGACAGTGTAACATTCCCAGAGGAACTGAATCATTTCTAGTTAAAACTGAGCTCTATTAGAACCAAATTTAAGTTGTTATAAATAACAAGCTGGCCATGGCTTTCAAAATGTTAACAATAACTACAATTTTTTAAGCACTTATTTTGAGCTAGTCGGTACTAGGTATATATGTATCAGTTATATATGGTATATATGATATTATTATAGCTATTTCCTATTAGAGGAAAGGACACTCAGAAATTTACTTTGGTATTATATTTGCTTTATAATCTAACATTCTGTAGATTATATTTGAAGTTCAAATTTTTTGAACTACCGTATTAATCCAGCTCTTTAAACCATGACTTGATCACAGATTAACCTGAGAGAACACATATGCTCCGTGCCTCCAATTTATCATCTGTTTGTGCGTATCACTTTTCCAGTATACCTAATATTTATGTTAATAATAACATGAACACTAACTAAAATCATTTGCCAGCCACTTTGCTAAGTACTTAATATGTATTAGCTCATTAATGATCATGTGAAACTATGCAATATTAACTATTGATGAAAATGAGACCCAGAGAAGTGATATGATTTACCTTTGGTCATCCAGCTATTAAATGACAGAGCTCATGGTCTTAATGATTATTCTGTACTCCTATATATCATGTTCACATATAAATTGCTGCATCATTCTTCTTTTCTAATATTATTCTATGTCTCATTAAAAATTGAGATAGAGGTTTCACTATGTCGTGTGCCCATTTTCGTTTGCCTCAAGGTGTTTGTTAGTTTCTTCTTTGACCCATTGGTTGTTCAGGAGCATGAGAAATGTCACTGTGGCTTGGCCATGTGAGTAAAGGAGAGAACAAAGAACTGAGTATAGCATAAAACACCTTTCCCTGTGTATTAATTATCTATTGCTGCCCCCCAAATTTAGCCACTTAAAACAACAAACAATTTCTGTAGGTCAGGAATCAGGAGTGAAAACTAGGAGTTCTGTCTCAGGCTCTCTAATGAAGTTGCTATCAAAATGACAGCCAGGGCTGCCACTCCTTGAAGGCTCGACTGGGCTAGAGGACTCCCCTGGAAGAGGGCTCACTCACACGGCTGCTGGCAGGAGGCCTTGGTTACTCTCTGGCTATCGGCAGGTGGCCTTGGTTCCTCTCCACTGGGTTTCTTGGGTGTCCTCACAACATGGCAGCCGCCTTCCCCAGAGCCAGTGATGTGAGAGAGAATAAGGAGGAATTTGCAGTATCTTTTATGACCCTATCTCAGACATCTCACACGATCACTTCTGCCACATTCTGTTTGTTAGAACTGAGTCAGTAAGTTTAGCCCACATTCAAGGGAAAGGGAATTCGATGCCACCTTTTGAAGGGAGGAGTATCAAAGAATTTGTGCACATATTTTAAAACTACCATTCCCTTCTAAGAATTTAGAAGAAATTGCTCTGTGCTCCAGGGCTGGTGGGAGGAAGGGGAGGAGGTGGGTAGGCATCGGTGTGTGTGAATGGGCTGTCACCGTGGCCACTACCGTCCTCAGTCCTCTCTCATAGGCTCAGTCTAAAATATTTACTTCTCTGAGCCTTGTTTCCTCATCTGGAAAACAAGCAAAACTTCTTCCCAGGTGCTGTGGACTGAATGTTTATGTCCCTTCCCCCCAAATGCATGTATTAAAGCCTAACCCCCTATGTGATGGTGTTCAAAGGTGGGGTCTTTGGTAGGTGATTAGGATTAGATGAGGTCATGAGGGTGGGGTCTTCATGATTAGTGGGATTAGTTCCCTTATAAGAAGAGACATCAAAGAGCTCACTCTCTCCCCACCACACATACCCCAGTGCACATTCAAAGAGGTTGTATGAGCACACAGCGAGATGGCAGCCACCTACAAGCCGAGAGAAAAAGACTCAGAATGAAACCTACCTTGCCAGCACCTTGCTCTTAGACTTCCCAGCCTCCAGCACTGTGACAAAATAAGTTTCTGTTGTTTGAGCCACCCAGTCTATGGCATTTTGCTTAGGTAGCCCAAGCTGACCAACATACCAGGTTTGATATAAGGGCCAAATAAAATCTCAGGCTTGACAGTATATATGTGTTTTGGACAAAACTTTATTCTCTAAGAAGAGCAACCACCTCATCTCCTCCCATGTCCACTGTGCCCCTCACACCAGAGTTTAGACACCCGTGGAAAATGGGAATCTCCACTTGTCTGTGGTCCTGGCTGCTCAGTTAAGGAGGGTAGGACCAGTGAGAGAAGCTCCCGAAATCTGGAATGACAGTGTGGTTACCCTATGTAGCCACTGACAGAAATTAGACAGATAAAAAGCAAAGAGGCCCTTCCACCCCAGGAGTGAGGCACAGTCCAGAGGAAGGGGATGAGATCAGAGATGAAAAGAAAGAAGAGAGAAGTGAGCTGGCTCAAGGGAAGAAACCACCGTTCTCTGACAGGTTTCCCCCTCAAAATACTGGTAGGAATGGACATCACTATGGAATGTGTTACCAGCTTAGGCCTGGGGAGATTTAGGGAAAGGCAAACATAATACCCCATGGACATAGGAGCTGGATCATAAGAACATAAACACAGAATTTAAAATAATGGGAAGATCTTTGAATTTTTAGAAGCTGCAGAACTGGCTACAGAATGAACCAGACAACTCTGTATCTCTGAGAGGCTAGAGACTCCCAGGTGATACATGGGTTTCATTATTCAACATTCCTTTTAGGCACTAACTCATTTGGTGCCTTCAGAGATTTTACTTAGCCTGCCTGGGACTCAGTTTCCTCAATAAAATACGGAAATGGATCTGAATCAATGGTTTCCAAGCTGGGGCCACAAGAGTGACGGCATTCGTGGTGGGGTAGGGTTGTTTTTGAGCAATTCCCAAAATTTGAGAGGGCCTAACGGAAACTGTATGTTTACCACCAGCGCTCCGTGAGTCTGCGCAGGCTCATTCAAATGCGCGTCTCCCTGTCTGGCTGGAGTCATAGCCACTTTGCGTGGAAAGACAGGGTGCCTCAGGCTGATCAGGAGTTCTATTTGGTAGTCACCTATT